GGCAGGCAGGCAGGCCGCGCGCGCCCCCGGCTCGGCCCCCGCCCGCCCGCCCGCCGCTGCTCGCGCGCCCCCGCCCCGGCCTTGCCAGCCCCCGGCGCGAGCCCCCGCGGAGCTCGCGCGCCCCGGGTCTAGGCAGGGTAGGGCAGGGCAGGGCAGGGCAGGGCCGGGCAGCGAGTGGGCCGAGCGCGGAGCAGACCCCGCTGGGGGGCTCCGTGCGTGGCGGGGAGCTCAGGGCCCCATAGCGTCTGGCCGCCTTGTCTTCTCACGGGGGAGGAAACTGAGGTCGGGGGAGCTGGAGGGGCCAGCCCAAGGTCACCCGGGGTGGACGCATCAGAGCCAGGATGGGGAGGGCAGGGAGGGAGGAAGCGTTTGTTAAGCGCCTACTGTGTGCCAGGCACTGCGCTGAGCGCTTTACAAAGGAACTCTCATTTGATCCTCTCAACAACCTTGCCCGAGGATTCGAACCCAGGCCCTCCGGCTCCAGTGCCAGTGTCCACTTAAGAGTCCATTCCACCAAGCGGCAGAGAAGCGGGCAGAGGGGCTGCTGGACGACCCCTATCCCCACCTTCTCTGTCTGGGGAAAAGTGAGTGGTGCTTCCAAGGTCAGAGGTTAGCGAAAGTGCCGCTGAAGACCCCTCCCCGCTTCTGTGTATGTCTAGGGTCAGGGCTAGGGGTGTTACTGGAGGATCCATTCCTAAGTCAGAGGTCAAGGAATTTGTCGGAGGTGCTGCCAGAAGACCTCTCCCCCCCTTCCATTTATGTCAGAGGTCAGAGGGGTGCTACTGTCGGATCCCTTCTCAGGTCAGAGGCCAAGGAAGGAGCCAGGATTGCTGCTGGAGTACCCCACCCCACTTCTGTGTAGATCATAGAGTTGGGGGCTGCAGGAGGATCCTCTTCTTAGGTCAGAGAAGGAGCCAGGAGTACTGGGGGACCCTCTCATGTCTGGGTTGGAGTCAAGGCCACTGTTGCTGGAGAACCCCTTCCTATGTCAGGTCAAGAAACCAAAAGTTTTAGAAAATGACCGATTTCCATTGCAGCATCTTCACCCAGATTTTTTAACTTAATAGGAAAATTTTTATTTCGTGTGCTAAAGTATTCCATCCATTAAATCCTGTCTTTTGCAGGAGGGCTTTCCTAGCCCTTCTCCTCCCCCCCTCCACCCACCCAGTCTTCCACAGCGAGGTTACTCTTATCCTCTATGTCCCTAGTTACTTGTTTCCCCTGGTAGGATGTGATCTCCTTGAGGACAGAAATGGTTCTTGCCTTTCTTTGTATGCTCACCACTTAGTGCAGTGCCTGGTACATAGGGATAACCGATGGACTTGGGATTTCATTGATATGGGAACTCCCAGAGGGGAAAGCTCTCTACCAGTGCAGGGTAGCACCTTCTCCTCTTCCAATGTAAAAGTTTTAAAGAGTTGCTGAGATCAGAGGTGTTGGGCCCAAACCAGATTAAAATATAATTGGGAAATGGTTTAAAAAAAATAAAAATACAATAAAACTAATACTAACGAGCTTTTCTGAGTCAGTATGTGGCACTCAGGGATCCTCATGTACAGTTTAGTGGGCCCTATTTCTGTTCCAGTTTGACACCACTGGCTTAGAGCATTGACAGACAGCTTGACTGATTTGTTCAGGATCACAAAGCCAATATGTATCAGAGGCAGGCTTTGAACTCAGGCCAGCTTTCTCTCCACTGTGCTGTGGACATAGTAAACTATAAGTTCTTGTTGACTGACTTACAATCTTTAAGTGCCTACTGTGTGCCAGGTACTGTGTTAAGGCATGGGAATACAAAGGAATAAAAAAAAAAAGCCAGTCTCTGCCTTCAAAGAACTTACATTCTAACTGGGAGACTACACAGAACAGTAAAAACAAAAGATACACCAATTACGTGCAGTGGAATAGAGAATGAGTACTAGTGGCTGGGGGTAGGAAGTCAGGAAACACCTCATGTAGGATATGGAGCATGAACTGAGGAGGCCAGGAATTCCAAGACTTGTAGGTGAGAAGGGGGTCACTCCAGGTGGGGGGACTGTGCAAAGACACTTAGAAGATGGGAATATGAGACAATTAGGTCAGTTTGGCTAAAACCTAGTGCAGGAAGGGAGCCTAGGCCAGAGGCAGACTTTGAAGGGCCTTAAATGCCAGGCTGAGCAATTTGTAACCTGGGTGACTAGAAGGCTGGTGGTGCCCTAAAGAGAAATAAGGACTTTGGGAAATGGGTAGGTTTGGAAGGAAAAATGAATTCTATTTTGAGTCAGAGTTTGAAGTGACAACAGTATATCCATTAGGAAATAGTTGTTTGGTGATCAGGCCTGGCCTGGGACTCATCTGCATAGAGATAATTGAACTTAGGGGAGCTGATAAGATCACTGGGAGGGAGGGAAGAGGTCCAGTACAGAGCCTTGGGGTACACTTAACTGTCAGTGATCCAGCAGAGGAGACTGAGAGGAATTGAACAAATGGGAAAGCCAAGAGAGGAGAGGGTATCCCAGTGGAGAGGATGGTCTGACTGAAATGGAGCATGTCCTTCAGTTATGAAATGGGCAACAGTGTCAAGTGCAGAGATAAAAGAAGCCTGAAAGAAAGGAAAGTATCCGGAGTATCTGACACCTTCCCCTGTGACTTGGAATGAGGGTGCTGGAGCACCCTTCTCTTCCGTTGGAGTGGAGGGAAGGAGCCCGGCATTCTCAGAGGCAGTATAGTGTAGTGCAAAGGGCACTAAAATCTGGAGTTGGGCCTTGGGTTAGAATTCTGGCTCTGTCCTCTACTGCTTGTGTGAATTTGGGCAAACCACTTAGCTCATTAGTAAAATGAAGTTGTTGAACTAGATAGGGTTCTTAACCCTTTTCCATGTCGTGGACCCTTTTGGCAGTCTGGTTAATAAAACAAAAAGCATTTATTTAATGCAGCTACTATGTGCTGGGCTCTCTGCTAACCATTTTTATAAATACGTCTCATTTAATGAGCCTGTGGACCTCTTCTCAGTTTGTTTGTTGCCTGCATTCACAGACAAAAATTTTTTTCCTTCCAAGTTCATCCCTGAAATCTATCCATGGATCCCAGGTTAAAAACCCTGTGATGCAATGATCCTTATGGTCCTTTCTGGTTCTAAAGTTGTTATTTAATAGAATGTGAGCTCTTTGGAGGCAGAGGTTGATTTTGCTTTTCTTTGTAACGCCATCTCCCTGATGGTGCTATACCACCAGACACTTAGTAAGTACTTAAATGCTTGTGGATTGATTGATTGAGTCTGAGTTGGTATATCCTCTCCTAGGGGACCGAGAAAGTGGGCCTGGGGTTTTGGGTGGGGAAACATTTTGGGAGAAGATTTCAATGAAGAGGATCAAGGGCTGAACTTCAGCCAGGAAAGCCTGTGAACGAATCATCCCCTGGACACCCACTCTGACCAGAGCCTGGTCACCTCACCTCTCCACACCTTAGGGAATCTCATCTGTAAAATGGGGACAGTCCCTACACCACCTTTCTTACCCAATTGTGAAGCTCAAATGAGGAAATGTACGTGAAGTCCTCGGTAGACTTTTTTTTAAGCTCTATATAAATGTGAATTAATCTTATTGAAGGAATTTCCCCTTCCCCCCATTCCATGATGGGAGTAAAGGCATACAGGGGCACTCTGCCATTTGAGGGGGTCAGGGAAGAAGCATAGGATGATAGTAGAATGTACCCTCCTATGTTGGGGTGGGAGGGGAAGAAAGGAAGGAAAGGAAGCTTTCTAAGGTAAGACCTTGAGAGGGAGAGAAATTTAATTTAATTCCACCTTGATTGGCCATCTAAGTGTGCTATTTAACCTCTCTGAGCCCTAGGGGACATTCTAAGGCTATAAATTGCCCAGGAGGTTCTGAGCTGCTTGGGTAGAGGGAGTTTCCTCATCCTTGAGGAAAGTGGTGAGATCTCAGCCAGTCCCCATCCCATATTAAGGGCTCCTTACTGTGCTTGACTTTGAGTGCAGTGCAGAAATGAATTAAGAAAATGCCTCAACTTTCAAGGAATTTTTTTTTTTAAGTTTTAAAAAATCATTTCCACCTTTCCTACTCTCTTCTTAATTTGAACCCTCCCTATGTAACAAAAAACAAGCAAAAGCACCAGGTAACTGACTATCTGACTGCAACAGCATTCTTCCGGGGCACCCATACCTCTGAGAAGGAGGAGGTGTGTTTTATTCTTTATACTGGGGGACTTCGACTGGTTTTTCAAGGACCTAATTCAGCTTTTTTTGAATAGTCTTTCCATTTATATGGTAGCAATTATGTATATTCTTTTGGTTCTCCCAGTTTCACTCTACATAAGTTCATAGGGGAACTTTCCCAGTATTTCTCTGAATTCTTCATTTGTCATTTCTTTCTGCACAACAGTACTTCATTACATTCATTCACTGTAGTTTATTCAGCCATTCAATTTCACACAGACTTATTCTGACCCTCAGTTCTGGTTTTTAACTGGAGTTGTAGTCCCTTAAACCCTGCTGGGATAACTTTGTGCAACTCTGCTTCACTTCAAGACATCCACTGGGGATGTCATTGGGCAAACAACAATGGGATGACCTTACCAAACTCCCCGTTAACCACTCGTTTATTCCCATCTAGAACAGTGATTTCCAAGCAGCTATTCAAAAAACTTTGCTATTCCTAAAATGTTTGCTATTACCCTGACTGTGGTTCTTTGTAACTTAATTTCCCTTGATCATTGCTTTGAATTAATGAGAAGGAATAAAAGGGTGGGGGTGTCTGGGAATGCTGCCTCAAGCATGCCTTTAACATAAGAATTGGCCAAGTATAGACTGCTTAGTGTATCTCCCAGCCTAAAGACTAAAGTTTTCTGTACCTTTGCTATTAGGAGTTCAATAAATAGATGATTGGGTTAAATGTTCAAAATTTAAAAATGTTTTCAAAATACCTTATCACTACTTTTCTTATCCTTCAAATTCCAGACCTGATATCCTTGCAACATTGAGCACAATAAGCATATTCCTCTGGTTTAGACATTGTTTTCTGGTAACTTTTAGGAGAAACACAAAAGCCTGAATTTAATTTTGAGTCAATTCCCATTTGTGTACCGGTTATCTAAACAATCACCATCCCCTTTTATACCATGTCCTATTTGTCTTTTGAGAATTAGAACAGGGAAATAATTTTTAGTTTTCTTACCACTTTGATTTCCCTTTTAAACTAGGATGGGGATCTTGGGGATGTCAAGGCGTTATGGATATTTGAGGGCCTTTCCATAAAATACCGTGTGGAGCTTCATTCCCAATTTGTCCCAGGAGTTTTAGGTTGTCATGAACAGCAGCCACACTTCAGTGTGCATTCAGCAAAAAAAAGTTAGGACTTTGCCTTTAACTGATGCGGTAGCAAGAAGTGCTGGTTTCGGATTGCTTGCTGGGAATCTGGTCCTTTGGGTGATGAAGGAGCACCCCTTTCTCAAACTTGCTTCTGGGAGAACATAAGAGTTGTTGAATTGGGTCACATTCTTGGTTTTATCAGCCTGGTGCTCTGACACGCTGATGTTGGATTTGTGGGAGGACATGTGTAGTACTGTTTACGGAAATTTACTGAATTTA